TTTGCTTTTGTACCCAACTTTCCCTTAGTCAATCCATTCCTCATTTCTTCACAGTACATCGCTGGAGAAAAAACGTATACCTCACCAGGGAAACTAATACTATTCGTACTGGAAAAAGAATAGCAAACAAACCTGCCGGAAATGCGCATCAGCGTCACTACGTGCGCGCAAGTCCTTCGCGAAAAAGCAGAGAGTCGCCGACCTGCGAAGGGGAATGGGAGGTTGTGAGGGGAGGAGGATAAGGGACAAGTCATACGAATACATTACAAAGTGTAAGATAAGTAGCTGCCGGACTGGCGCCTAAGCGTCGCTACTTGCGCCCATGTCCTCCGCGATATTGTTGAAAGTCGACGCCTGGAAAGAAGGGCGCGGATAGCATATTCAATATGAGAAGTCGGGTCATGACGAACAACAACAGAGCACGGAAAGTATGCAAGGGTTGCACTAATACATGTGCGATTTGGCAGAGAGGAAATCGCGAAACAAGCAAGGTGTTGCAGGAAATTTAGTACATATGTTGGTCGAGCCGTGAGAAGGACATACAAGGAGCTGGTGAAAATTGAACAAGAAACTGTGAACTGACGGTGTGGGTGTGAGGAAGAAGACTGGGTTGGAGGTGCAGTGTGCTGAGCTAATGTGTTGATAAGGGAGCTTGGGGATTGATTGACTGGGGTGGGCTGATTGGGTGGATTATTGGTTTGGGTAGGTGTGGTGACGTGTAGATAGATCGGAGGGTAGGGAGTGATTGACTGTTTGCAGAAACAGCAATGATTGGTTGTAAATGTTTTTTCTGGATGCCACGTCCCACTGCAGAAGATACCAGCTGGCGTACATGCGGTAGGTTGGGTGGTCAACGTTTAGATTTGAGCGTAAACGAAAACGAAGTATCCAGTTTTACAAACTCGCTGGACTTCGTGGGGTGTTCGTGGGGTCGTTTTGGTTCGTTAACTTTGTAGTTACATTTCACTGTCATCGTCACTCTGCGGAACCGTTTGATAACTCCATCGACCGCGCGAAACCGATTGACGCGAAAATGTTGACGGACAAGAAACTTCGGGGTGACTGTTTTGTGTCGGTGCTCGCATGCGCCTCTGGTGTTCAGAAAGTTCCTTTTTGCGTGCGTTGGTTTCTGGATACTTCGCGCAACATTTTCGCAAAATTACCGCAAAAAACCCTTCGGAAGGCAAAAAACGCAATTTACCTTTTCCGTGATGTTGGTCGGTGTGCGTTGAGCTGGACCATGTAAGGGTGCGACGGAAGTGGGATTGGTTGGTAGAGGGAACTGTGGGAGAAGCGCGAGGGAGATTTTTGCTGTTGGCTTTCCGTTTCGTGCATTGCATGGAAAGGGAGGGGAGAATATGTGATGTGTTTTCCCTAAAACGAAATGCGAAATCGAACCGCACATTGAACGTGTGATGCGACGCGTTCCCGATGCGCGGCACCAGTTTCTAACCAGTGTCGAAGAGAATTTTGCTCAATCCCGCAGAATCGCTCTTCGTTTTATTATCGCCACGTGGCCTGCCTATGATCGCGGAACCGCGATCTGATTTATTGTTCCCACATGTTTCAATTTTTAAATTTAGTTAAGTTTAGTGGGTCACATGTATTGCGCTGCCCGCGGGCAAAAACAAAACCCATTCGAGCCTGGCGTGCGTTAGGGAGGCATCAACCCTAAACACCTAGAGGCAAGGTGTTTAGGTAAAGGCAAAGGAGGGGGGAAATCCCCCTTTGGGTTACCCCCGGCTGTCAATCGTAATCCGCCTACCCACTTGTTTACACGCCTCGCTGGGTATCGAGGTAAGGATATATCCACTCCCAGATGAGCAGTGCGAAACCCCCTTCTGGGGGGCTGGTGTCAGAATAGCAGGCATAACGAAGAGCCATAGCTAGGGTTAGCTAGCTAGGCAAGAGAAAATAGGCAAAGAAGGAGGTTCACTAGCAAGCAGGTGGATACATATAGGAAACCCTAAGGGGTCGTACTCACTATAGAGTACCCCACTGTAGGCTAGACAAACTACACATTCTGACACACCCCCATAGCCAAAGTGGGGTATAATCAGCAGAGCAAGCAGTCATAGAGCAGGTTCACAAGTGCAAGCAAAGCTAGAGGCATTCACAACGGGCACGTGAGCAGGAGGAGGCTGGACTGTGAGAGGAGAGGAGATAGGAGGCGACGGCTGAAGCTGCAGACACACGGGCAACAGGAGCGGCGCGCACAGTGGCTACCGGCGGCAGAGCCCCGGACTACAGGAGTAACTGGCTCTGCGGCTAACTCTGAGCGGTAGGAGCAACGGACCCACGGGCGACAGGCGCAGCAGGCTCTCTGAGCTACCAGCAGCAGAGCCCCGGACTACAGGTGCTGCGGACGACAAGACGGCATCCTCCGCTCAACCTCCCCCAACTGTCCCACCCCCCTTTTTCACACACCCCTTGCTGCACCCCTAGCTCCACTCCCATAGCACCACTCCCTCGGCTCCCACACACCCACCCCCCCTCAGCGGCAGCTGCAGCAGTGGGAGACGGAGGAGGAGGAGGAGCAGGGGACTGCGCACACACCCGTCACCCCCATGCTTACCACCCCCACACCCGCCACCCCCAAACCCTAAAACGGGCAACACGGGGCAGGAGCGCGGGCAGCAGCGCGGGGGACGGCGCGCGGCCCCCAGGGCGCCGCGACGGGGCAGCGGGGGCCGCGCGCGGCTCCCTAGGGCGCCTCGACGGGGCAGCAAGGGGTCGCGCGCGGCTCCCCAGGGCGACGCGACGAGGCAGCGGGGGCCGCGCGCGGCTCCTCAGGGCGTCGGGACGGGAGAGCGGGGGCCGCGCGCGGCTCCCCAGGGCACCGCGACGGGGCAGCGGGGGGCCGCGAGCGGCTCCCCAGGGCGTCGCGACGGGGCAGCGAGGGCCGCGCGCGGGTTGCGGGGCGACGCGACGAGCTCCCATGGGGCGACGCGACCGTCGACGGGGGGGACGCGCGGGTCCCCGGGGTGACGCGTGAAGCAGGAAGCCGCCACGCGCCTCGGGGCGCACGGCGGGCAGAAAACCGCCATGCGCCCCGAGCGCGTGGCGGGAAGAAAAAGGCGTCGCGCGCCACGGGGCGCGCGACAGACAGGAAAGCAGCGGAAGCACGTGGGGCCCACAGGCCAAGAGCGTAACAGCTCTGATTCCATGTCAGAATAGCAGGCATAACGAGGAGCCATAGCTAGGGTTAGCTAGCTAGGCAAGAGAAAATAGGCAAAAAAGGAGGTTCACTAGCAAGCAGGAGGATACATATAGGAAACCCTAAGGGGTTGACTCACTATAGAGTACCCCACTGCAGGCTAAACAAACTACACATTCTGATAGCTGGCGGAACTCGCTGGCACTGGGCTTTGATCCCGCAACCTCATCCTTCGGAAGTCCCATTCTACTTGACTGGGCCACTTCAGGATAGAGGCAAGGTGTTTAGGGTTGATGCATCCCTAACACATGCCTTTCATATAAGGGGTTTATTTTTGCGTCAATATGTTGAATAGATGGATGAGGAGGGAAGTGCAAGTTTTGCATGAAGATCCTTTCATTGGCTCATGTAGAGCTCTTTGCAGTGTTTTAAACTGTCCGAGGGCACTAAAATATTATGCCAAGGCCGTGATTCGCTTGCCCTTGAGAAACAGCAATGAATGAGTGTGAGCTGTTTTGATAACGTTGTAATTCTCAGCACCTGTGTACTATGTCCAGTTTGACAATGCTATGATACAACACTGCAAAATGGTTAATTGTAAGGCAGATCTTGAGGCATATGAGGGAGCAGTTGCGTGATGGTTTTGTTCGAGCTATTAAGTACTTAAAGCTCGCGTCTCATAATTCTGGCTTCCAACCAAGTGTTAAACGGTTGGAATCCGGTAACAGCAGAGTTTGTCGCAAAGCACACCAAAGCAAGGGGTGGGTTGGGAAATTGGCTGTCGCACACTTCCCCGTGCACACCAAGCGTTTACAACTCTCGAAAATATGAGATTCTGAACTCAACGTTGACAGAACCCGGGACCAAACCTGTCCCCCTTGGCTCCTTTTCCACCCAAACCAACCCACCCTGGTTTGTTTTGGCCTCGACTGTTTGGGAGTTCGCTGTACTTTTTTCACCCACTCGTCAAATATTCCGTCGTTCGTTACCCAATCAGAGACGGGCAAACCCAACCAAGTGTTAAAAGGTTGGAAATCTGAGACGCGAGCTTTAATTGTTTGTACACGATGTTTGGATACACGTGCTGTTTTTATAATGGGCGGTACTTTCAACGACCTTGCATATCGTTCCACTAAAACATGTTCTACCAGAGAATGGAATTGCTATGTACTTATACTGGAAAATGTAGTCGCAGCTTAGGCAATCTTCACTGGCACGACAGGTGGCGATTACTCACTAGCTCGTCATTCCTTACCCGGCATGGCGCCTCGACCTCCGATTACTCTGTCGACCGCGAACGGCGGCGATTCGGGAGGTTATTCTGTCAGACCGGACCGCTCTGATGCCGCTTCAATGGTGTCTCGATGGCGAAAGGCGACATTTCGTCCTCCGAGTTACCCCCGTGCATCGCGTCGTCGATGTTGACGAGCTCGAAGCGATTTTACACGCACTGAAAATCGCAGACCTCAAGAGAGCCGCTTATTCAGCGTCGAGCCCTTTTCTCAACCAGACGCCTTCAAGCCGCTCTGTCTGTGGGTCAGCACCAATTCCTTCCAGTTTCCTCGCAACCGCGAAACCTTACTGTATCCTCCGGTTACTCCAGTTCCCAGCAGTTTTGCAGTTTTAAAGAGCACCACTTCCTCACCACCATGCAAGACGTCAAGCCTCAGCAGCAGCAGGCGCAAGAAAACCGACAGCGACCGCAGGAGGCAACGTCGGTTGCCTCAGCCGCCGCGCACCTTCCGGAAATCCCGGTTGAAGCTGACGTGGACTGGCAGGCGACGGCGGGCCGGCAGGTGGACGCGAGCGTGGAGGGCGGGATTGACGAGGAGGAGACGGCGGGATGGCAGGCGGCTCTCGGGGCGGAAGAGGTAGAGGCGCTGCGGGCGGGGGTGGGGAAGAGTGTGGCGGAAGGGCGGAAGAGGATGGGGGGAAGGGGAGAGGCTTCGGAGGGAGAGGGAGGGCGGAAAGGAGGAGTGGGGTTGGGGGGCGAGGGGGTGGAGTGCGAGGGCCGTTGGGGATCGAGGGGGAGGCGGGAGTGCTGATGGGGGGGGAGGGAGGGGGGGATGCAGGGGGGGAGCGATGGGATGTGCCGCTGGTGCCTGACATGCCTGGAGTGCTGTCCATGGGTGATGTGATGGGAGGAGCCAAGCACATGGCCTCCTCCACTTGGGGCGGTGCTAAGGAGGTGAGTGTGGTGGAGTGAGTGAGTTGGATGTGGGATGGATTGAGGTGGAGTGAGGTGCACTCAGTGCACTGCGCTGCAATGAGTGCAGCGCTGCATGCCTTATTTGTTTCCTGATTGCCCGATGCACCTTGGCGTCTGCTATTAAGCTCTGCTGCTGCTGCCACTGGGTATTTACCTCTGTAACACCTCTTCGTCCCTTCATCAATCCCACCCCACTGCCTCTGCAGGCCATGATATCTGCTGCTCACACCCCAGCTGACACCGCTGCTGCTGACACGGCATCCCTGCCGTGCTCTGCTCACGAATAAAACCCCAACACCTCCGCATCCCTTCATCAATCCCATCCCACCCCACCGCCGCTGCAGGCCGTGACATTTGCTGCTCACGCTGCTGGTGCTGGCCTGCTGCTGTGATGGTATCCCTACCCACCTCACCAACCAAACTATAACACCTCTCCATTCCTACATCCTTCCCACCCCACTGCCCCTTCAGGCCGTGACATCTGCTGCTCACACCGCCGCTGACACCACAGCTGCCGGCACTGCAGCTGTTGGGAGAGCTGCTGCGGGCATGGTGGGTGTGGACACCAACGCGCCGCCCATAGGCATTCCCCTGGGCTCCTCCTCTCTGCCCGCAACCACCGATGAAGCACAGATGGGCGCCGCTGCTCTGGTGGCTGGGGAGACAGCACCTCGCAGGACGGAACACCCCAGCTTCAAATCTGAGGCAGCTCAGAAATAGAACCAACGCCCCCCCCCATCGGCATTCCCCTGGTCTCCTCCTCTCTGCCCACAGCCACCGATGAAGCACAGATGGGCGCCACTGCTCTGGTCGCTGGGGAGACGGCGGCTGAGAGGAGGGATCAGCCCACCTTCCGCTGAGCATGAGAGAGCAGAGAAGGGTTTTCAGTTGGTTGCGTTATTGTGCGCAGCTCTTTGCGGGAACGGGGAATGAGTTGGTTCAGCGTGGCTATAGAGGCTGCTTGTGCTTAAGACACAGTGCCTTGTGGTGGCACCTGTGCTGTGTAGCGTATATTTGTCAATTGTCATTTGCGCCTAGCATTTGATAAATTTGATATAGCCGCTTGGCATTGATGGGCGATAAAGGCTCCACAAGTTTGATATGCGTAAGCTGTGTCGCGGAGCTGTTTTGCTTCATGGGATCAGTGGCGCTGTGTCAAGGACGAGGTGAAAAGGAAGCAGAAAAGCTACGCAGCGCAACACCTCCTTGCCATTGATGTCAGAGAAATATAATAATACCGTATGGTAGGGTACAAGCATTTGCAGTCCCGTGCTCTGCTTCACACACACCCCTACACAGGAGCAGCGTGTGGGAGAAACTCATCGTACCTAGTATTGGACCATTATCAGCTGTACTGAACCACTCTGTAGCAACTCTCCTGCTATCTTGCTTGCTGCTGCTTCTCCTGCAGCCGCTGCTCATCGTATCTGTCATCCTCGCTCAGAAAGCACCTCCAGTTCTTCACAAAGCCGCGGTCGTATGGGTTGTGGAAGTGCTTCGTCTGCTCTCCTGATGCTGCTTTCGCATGATAACGCACCAGGGGTCCGTTTGCAACATGCATGCACATGAAGGGCATATGCACATGCACATGCACATGCACATGCACAGAGGATCGTAGCATTCAAAATTCACCAATAATGACACGGAAGCATGCCATGAGCAGAATGATTATGAAATATGTGACACATTGGGATGCCACCAGACAGGACAGAGAAGCAGCATGTTATGGATCATGACACATTAAGAGGGCGGGCACATGGGTATGGAAAGGATAATTGCAATCAGCTTTGGGCGTGCCTTGTCGTTGCAGGTGGTTTCTGAGAATCCTAAAAAACCACCTGCAACATCCATGATCCATCGTAATGCATTACCTTGCACACCTTCATAGTGCATGTAAGGAACCTTCTTCCATCGAGCCTGGTAGGGATATGCACAGGAGAGAAGAGGAATGGGAAGAACGAAGGCAGGCAGACGGTGGGGGGGGGGAGTAAGGCAGAGCGAGGACGTCACTTTGCCGTGGATGTGGAGAAAAAGGAACATGGATCCCACCCACCCATTCGTAGCTTTGTCGCGTTTTTTTTAGGCGCCTCGACTTCTTTAGGACTTTTGAGGCGCCTCAAAAGTCATTGCATGTGGAGGAGAAGGGTGTATGTATCTCACCCACTCATAGGTTGTCACGTTTTGGCCTATGCAGAGGAGGTGGAAGAGGAGCAGGGGAACCTGCCAGACCATGAGGAGCCAAGAAGAGGGAGACGAGAAGATTGAGACGAGAAGGTCACAAGAAGCACCGGAGAAAGTTTTGAGAGTTCTTTTGAGTCGGCTCAGAAGTCGCCTAGAATTCTCAAATGTAACCTGCAAGGCCATGAGGAAGGAGACAGGTCACAAGAAGCACGAGAGAAAAAGGCGAACGGAAAAGAGTGCGGGAGGCAGAAGGACCGATATCCAGACCGAAATGAGGGAGAGAGTAATTGCATCGATGAAGGGAATGCAAGGCAGGGATAAGAGGATGACATGACAAGAACCAAAGACGTGAGGAACTGTGGGAGTGAGGGAGTGAGGAAGTGAGGGATCGAGGGAGTGAGAAAGTGAGGGATGGGAAAGGGGGGGGAGGGGCTGGAATGAAGAGGGGGGAAATGAAAGCAGGTAGAGGAGGGGAGGGTGTGTCACCTGCCAGAGGGTTTGGAGGTAGGCACAGAGCATGAGCAGCACCACCCATGGCTGGGCCAGAAAAGCCTGTGAGAGATAAGAGGGAATGATGGGATAGTGCTGAGGCGCCTGGAAAAAAATACACCTGCTGCTGGTCAAGAAGAGCCTGTGAGAGATCAGAGGGAGCGATGGGACATATTTTCCATTTTGAGACGTCTCAAAAATAGACTTCTATCAAGTAGAGCCTATACAGAAGAGCCTGTGAGAGAAAGGAGTGATGGGACATATTTATTATGCGCGTCAAGAATACACCCATGGCTGGGCCCGTACAGCCTGTGAGAAAAGCGATACGGCGAAGTGGCGGGATAGATGGTGACTGTAGGCTGCAGGCCTTGACAACACATTGTGGGCTGGATGGGGGAAAGCGAGCTGGAATACAGGAAAGAGGCACTTGGAGGCACATCCGGACTGAACATTAGGCTGTGAAGTGAGTGTGAGCGCAGCGAGTGTGAGCGCAGCGAGTGTGAGTGCAGCGAGTGTGAGTGCAGCGAGTGTGAGTGCAGCGAGTGTGAGTGCAGCGAGTGTGAGTGCAGCGAGTGTGAGTGCAGCGAGTGTGAGTGCAGCGAGAGTGAGTGCAGCGAGTGTGAGTGCAGCGAGTGTGAGTGCAGCGAGAGTGAGTGCAGCGAGTGTGAGTGCAGCGAGTGTGAGTGCAGCGAGAGTGAGTGTAGGGCACCTGGATATTAATGCGGAAGGATGTCTCTACGCTCCTTATAGGACCCACTGAAGCACAGCAGCGCAGGGAGAGAGGGAGGGCCACAGCACAAGAGGGTGAGGGGTAGGGCCACAGCATAAGAGGGTGAGGGGTAGGGGCACAGGTAAGCAGCAATCATGATGTGAAAGGACACATCTACGCTTCTAAGAGCACCTTCTGAAGCACAGCGGTGCATGGGAGAGGGAGGATGGGGAGGGACACACGAAAAGACGCAAGCGAGCGAGAGAGGAGAGGGGCATGCAAGATGTGGAACGCTAGAGAGGAGAGGGGTGAAAAGGCAGGAATTACAAGAGTGGAGTGGAACGCTAAAAACGCAGCTGCAAGACGGTGAGGAGGAAGAGATTGGAGAGGCGCAGAAGAGATTGGAGAGGCGCAGAAGAGATTGGAGAGGCGCTTGACTCTAAAACAGGAACGGAGGGTGCTGGTATGGTATGTACAGCTAACTACTCCGGGAGCACATGAAAGCTGACCACCATGCCAGGTAGCACATGCTGATGAAGAAGCGTAAGTGTTACTACAAGGGTGGGTAAGGGGCATCTGAAGAGATGACATGGGTAAAGGATACGTACGGTTCGGGAAGATGAGGGGTTGGGTGGAGGGCAGGTGAAGGAGGTGATGTGACGCTAGGACTGGTGGGGATGGTGGGTGAGAAGAAGGGGAGGTGAGGGAGGGAGGGAAGGGGAGGGGATGGGAGGGGAGGGAAATGGTTTGACGTTCTCAAAGATGCTGGGTGAATGGCAGGTGAAGAGATGATGAGAGGCAAGGTGAAGAGATGATGAGAGGCAAGGTGAAGAGATGATGAGAGGCAAGGTGAAGAGATGATGAGAGGCAAGGTGAAGAGATGATGAGAGGCAAGGTGAAGAGATGATGAGAGGCAAGGTGAAGAGATGATGAGAGGCAAGGTGAAGAGATGATGAGAGGCAAGGTGAAGAGATGATGAGAGGCAAGGTGAAGAGATGATGAGAGGCAAGGTGAAGAGATGATGAGAGGCAAGGTGAAGAGATGATGAGAGGCAAAGGTGAAGAGATGATGAGAGGCAAGGTGAAGAGATGATGAGAGGCAAGGTGAAGAGATGATGAGAGGCAAGGTGAAGAGATGATGAGAGGCAAGGTGAAAAGATGATGAGAGGCAAGGTGAAGAGATGATGAGAGGCAAGGTGAAGAGATGATGAGAGGCAAGGTGAAGAGATGATGAGAGGCAAGGTGAAGAGATGATAAGAGGCAAAGGTGAAGAGATGATGAGAGGCAAGGTGAAGAGATGATGAGAGGCAAAGGTGAAGAGATGATGAGAGGCAAGGTGAAGAGATGATGAGAGGCAAAGGTGAAGAGATGATGAGAGGCAAGGTGAAGAGATGATGAGAGGCAAAGGTGAAGAGATGATGAGAGGCAAAGGTGAAGAGATGATGAGAGGCAAAGGTGAAGAGATGATGAGAGGCAAGGTGAAGAGATGATGAGAGGCAAAGGTGAAGAGATGATGAGAGGCAAAGGTGAAGAGATGATGAGAGGCAAGGTGAAGAGATGATGAGAGGCAAGGTGAAGAGATGATGAGAGGCAAAGGTGAAGAGATGATGAGAGGCAAGGTGAAGAGATGATGAGAGGCAAGGTGAAGAGATGATGAGAGGCAAGGTGAAGAGATGATGAGAGGCAAGGTGAAGAGATGATGAGAGGCAAGGTGAAGAGATGATGAGAGGCAAGGTGAAGAGATGATGAGAGGCAAGGTGAAGAGATGATGAGAGGCAAGGTGAAGAGATGATGAGAGGCAAAGGTAAAGAGATGATGAGAGGCAAGGTGAAGAGATGATGAGAGGCAAAGGTGAAGAGATGATGAGAGGCAAGGTGAAGAGATGATGAGAGGCAAGGTGAAGAGATGATGAGAGGCAAAGGTGAAGAGATGATGAGAGGCAAGGTGAAGAGATGATGAGAGGCAAAGGTGAAGAGATGATGAGAGGCAAAGGTGAAGAGATGATGAGAGGCAAAGGTGAAGAGATGATGAGAGGCAAGGTGAAGAGATGATGAGAGGCAAAGGTGAAGAGATGATGAGAGGCAAAGGTGAAGAGATGATGAGAGGCAAGGTGAAGAGATGATGAGAGGCAAAGGTGAAGAGATGATGAAAGGCAAGGTGAAGAGATGATGAGAGGCAAGGTGAAGAGATGATGAGAGGCAAGGTGAAGAGATGATGAGAGGCAAGGTGAAGAGATGATGAGAGGCAAGGTGAAGAGATGATGAGAGGCAAGGTGAAGAGATGATGAGAGGCAAGGTGAAGAGATGATGAGAGGCAAGGTGAAGAGATGATGAGAGGCAAAGGTGAAGAGATGATGAGAGGCAAGGTGAAGAGATGATGAGAGGCAAAGGTGAAGAGATGATGAGAGGCAAAGGTGAAGAGATGATGAGAGGCAAGGTGAAGAGATGATGAGAGGCAAAGGTGAAGAGATGATGAGAGGCAAGGTGAAGAGATGATGAGAGGCAAGGTGAAGAGATGATGAGAGGCAAGGTGAAGAGATGATGAGAGGCAAGGTGAAGAGATGATGAGAGGCAAGGTGAAGAGATGATGAGAGGCAAGGTGAAGCGATGATGAGAGGCAAGGTGAAGAGATGATGAGAGGCAAGGTGAAGAGATGATGAGAGGCAAAGGTGAAGAGATGATGAGAGGCAAAGGTGAAGAGATGATGAGAGGCAAGGTGAAGAGATGATGAGAGGCAAGGTGAAGAGATGATGAGAGGCAAAGGTGAAGAGATGATGAGAGGCAAGGTGAAGAGATGATGAGAGGCAAGGTGAAGAGATGATGAGAGGCAAGGTGAAGAGATGATGAGAGGCAAGGTGAAGAGATGATGAGAGGCAAGGTGAAGAGATGATGAGAGGCAAGGTGAAGAGATGATGAGAGGCAAGGTGAAGAGATGATGAGAGGCAAGGTGAAGAGATGATGAGAGGCAAGGTGAAGAGATGATGAGAGGCAAAGGTGAAGAGATGATGAGAGGCAAGGTGAAGAGATGATGAGAGGCAAAGGTGAAGAGACGATGAGAGGCAAGGTGAAGAGATGATGAGAGGCAAAGGTGAAGAGATGATGAGAGGCAAGGTGAAGAGATGATGAGAGGCAAAGGTGAAGAGATGATGAGAGGCAAGGTGAAGAGATGATGAGAGGCAAGGTGAAGAGATGATGAGAGGCAAAGGTGAAGAGATGATGAGAGGCAAGGTGAAGAGATGATGAGAGGCAAGGTGAAGAGATGATGAGAGGCAAGGTGAAGAGATGAGGAGAGGCAAGGTGAAGAGATGATGAGAGGCAAGGTGAAGAGATGAGGAGAGGCAAGGTGAAGAGATGATGAGAGGCAAGGTGAAGAGATGATGAGAGGCAAGGTGAAGAGATCATGAGAGGCAAGGTGAAGAGATGATGAGAGGCAAGGTGAAGAGATGATGAGAGGCAAGGTGAAGAGATGATGAGAGGCAAGGTGAAGAGATGATGAGAGGCAAGGTGAAGAGATGATGAGAGGCAAGGTGAAGAGATGATGAGAGGCAAGGTGAAGAGATGATGAGAGGCAAAGGTGAAGAGATGATGAGAGGCAAGGTGAAGAGATGATGAGAGGCAAGGTGAAGAGATGATGAGAGGCAAAGGTGAAGAGATGATGAGAGGCAAGGTGAAGAGATGATGAGAGGCAAGGTGAAGAGATGATGAGAGGCAAGGTGAAGAGATGATGAGAGGCAAGGTGAAGAGATGATGAGAGGCATAGGTGAAGAGATGATGAGAGGCAAAGGTGAAGAGATGATGAGAGGCAAAGGTGAAGAGATGATGAGAGGCAAGGTGAAGAGATGATGAGAGGCAAAGGTGAAGAGATGATGAGAGGCAAGGTGAAGAGATGATGAGAGGCAAGGTGAAGAGATGATGAGAGGCAAGGTGAAGAGATGATGAGAGGCAAGGTGAAGAGATGATGAGAGGCAAGGTGAAGAGATGATGAGAGGCAAGGTGAAGAGATGATGAGAGGCAAGGTGAAGAGATGATGAGAGGCAAAGGTGAAGAGATGATGAGAGGCAAGGTGAAGAGATGATGAGAGGCAAAGGTGAAGAGATGATGAGAGGCAAGGTGAAGAGATGATGAGAGGCAAGGTGAAGAGATGATGAGAGGCAAAGGTGAAGAGATGATGAGAGGCAAAGGTGAAGAGATGTTGAGAGGCAAGGTGAAGAGATGATGAGAGGCAAGGTGAAGAGATGATGAGAGGCAAAGGTGAAGAGATGATGAGAGGCAAGGTGAAGAGATGATGAGAGGCAAAGGTGAAGAGATGATGAGAGGCAAGGTGAAGAGATGATGAGAGGCAAAGGTGAAGAGATGATGAGAGGCAAGGTGAAGAGATGATGAGAGGCAAAGGTGAAGAGATGATGAGAGGCAAGGTGAAGAGATGATGAGAGGCAAAGGTGAAGAGATGATGAGAGGCAAGGTGAAGAGATGATGAGAGGCAAGGTGAAGAGATGATGAGAGGCAAAGGTGAAGAGATGATGAGAGGCAAGGTGAAGAGATGATGAGAGGCAAGGTGAAGAGATGATGAGAGGCAAGGTGAAGAGATGAGGAGAGGCAAGGTGAAGAGATGATGAGAGGCAAGGTGAAGAGATGAGGAGAGGCAAGGTGAAGAGATGATGAGAGGCAAGGTGAAGAGATGATGAGAGGCAAGGTGAAGAGATGATGAGAGGCAAGGTGAAGAGATGATGAGAGGCAAGGTGAAGAGATGATGAGAGGCAAGGTGAAGAGATGATGAGAGGCAAGGTGAAGAGATGATGAGAGGCAAGGTGAAGAGATGATGAGAGGCAAGGTGAAGAGATGATGAGAGGCAAGGTGAAGAGATGATGAGAGGCAAGGTGAAGAGATGATGAGAGGCAAGGTGAAGAGATGATGAGAGGCAAGGTGAAGAGATGATGAGAGGCAAAGGTGAAGAGATGATGAGAGGCAAGGTGAAGAGATGATGAGAGGCAAGGTGAAGAGATGATGAGAGGCAAGGTGAAGAGATGATGAGAGGCAAGGTGAAGAGATGATGAGAGGCAAAGGTGAAGAGATGATGAGAGGCAAATGTGAAGAGATGATGAGAGGCAAAGGTGAAGAGATGATGAGAGGCAAGGTGAAGAGATGATGAGAGGCAAGGTGAAGAGATGATGAGAGGCAAGGTGAAGAGATGATGAGAGGCAAGGTGAAGAGATGATGAGAGGCAAGGTGAAGAGATGATGAGAGGCAAGGTGAAGAGATGATGAGAGGCAAGGTGAAGAGATGATGAGAGGCAAGGTGAAGAGATGATGAGAGGCAAGGTGAAGAGATGATGAGAGGCAAGGTGAAGAGATGATGAGAGGCAAAGGTGAAGAGATGATGAGAGGCAAGGTGAAGAGATGATGAGAGGCAAAGGTGAAGAGATGATGAGAGGCAAGGTGAAGAGATGATGAGAGGCAAGGTGAAGAGATGATGAGAGGCAAAGGTGAAGAGATGATGAGAGGCAAGGTGAAGAGATGATGAGAGGCAAAGGTGAAGAGATGATGAGAGGCAAGGTGAAGAGATGATGAGAGGCAAAGGTGAAGAGATGATGAGAGGCAAGGTGAAGAGATGATGAGAGGCAAGGTGAAGAGATGATGAGAGGCAAAGGTGAAGAGATGATGAGAGGCAAGG